GCCGTGCCAGCAACCGTACAGCGACGCGTATTATAACATTACCGACAAAGACAAGGTTGGGTATGGCTGGCTAACGACGGCTAATAATCCAGTAATGACCATTCCAGTCTCCATTGTCTTAGTCGGTAATGCTATTCTGCCCATATTACGCGCCGCTGTGTGGTTGCTGGCGAGGCTCGAGAGAGAGAGAGAGAGAGTCCCAAGGCACAACGGGACGAATCAGTTCCGTAACGTGATCGGAGGTCATCCCTCTGCCATTTCTCTATACCATGTTCAATTTTAAACTCCGGTTAATTTCTCTTATTCTCCATTGTTTTTATTGTCTTCTCTTGCCAACAGCAAAAATTGTCCCTTCACTTGCGCCGACACGCGAACCCGACCTCACAAGTTTCCGTCTCTCAGCGGCCCTCAACCCTCCTCCAAAGACGCAGTCGATTACTGGCAGGAGCCGGAGTGCCGCCACGACGACGCAAATGTGTGCCACTCAAGGAGCTCAATGAGGCCTGGGAGACGGACAGCCAGAGCAGCGTACTCTCACTGCTCGCCTAACACTTCCCCCCCCCTCTACGTCCTCCACTCCACTTGTGTTTTGCTCTGCCAAACTTCCCTCAGGCTGTATCTTTTGTACATAAATGTTTTTTGGAAGAGTCAGGCTGCAAAGATTCATTAACGTGACCTCTGCCATTCTTGCCTGTGTGAGATCCGCGTCACCCGTATTGTGGCCAGGAACATCTGCAGTCGGTGCCAGATCGTGTGTGTGGTCCGCTTAGACGTGAGGCTTAGCCTTGTCAACAGCTGCGCCGGCGTCTGCCGGTCGTCTTGGCGGCATCTGGCCATGAGAGCAAGGTGGCTGTTTCGCGAGTCTGCCTCAAAATAAACTAATTCACGCTTAAGTCCCTGATGCTGTGCGCATTCCCTAAGGCGCACAGTAGGCATTGTCGCTTGTGGCTGTCGAACTAGTAATACGACTAACTCCCTCGAAGTCTTTGCCGGTTCTTCCGGGACGTCAAGTGTACAGATGTTCTACCGATTAAAATTTCACCGGTTTGAATTTTGAGTCGTGTGGAAATTGCCCAACAGTTTATTACGGAAAACGACTGTCTCCCACAAAAAACTGAATTGTAAAACACCTCGTTGCTTTCCATTCTCGGTTCTTAGACACCGACCGGGACAATTTCTCCGTAGGCCCCGTCTTTCCGTTGGGATTCCGGCTTTATCTATGCAACTTTCTGTTCTAATATACTATCTCAAACTGTTAGCGTTTCCGTGCAACGTCTGCAAAAGGCTGAGTCGGCATATTTTTGTTAACTCTGCTGGTTGCGCTGTTTAAAGTCAGCTCCTTATGAAACCAGGATTGGGTGACGACGTCTGCCGGACCTTCCACTCTCCAGAAATTTCGGCAGACCCGACGTGACCAGTTACCGCCTAAGTCGACGTTAAGCCAGCTGACTTTTCAACCGTAACATGGGACATATTCCAAAGGTCGCTGGGTAGTAAATGAGTTCCTGAAGTCCGACACCAGACTCGCGGAGGCCGATTTGACGACCAAATTGGTATCTGGACATATTGACCGTGGTGAATATCCCAGATACTACTACAAAACCTTGCGAAGGAACCATATCGCCGCCACCTCAGGCACATTACGGCGACATGCAGAAAGTCATCTGGAGAGACTTCAGCACTTATGCGAGAGACAGCGGCCCTCGGTAATCTTGGAATTCTCGAGAGACTGACGTTTGGAGACTATGCGCAGACAGAAATAAGAGAATCTACCTCAGGTGGAGGAAGCTCCTACGAGGTGTCCTACCAGTGAAAGGGCAGACCGTCCTTTCGAACAATCCGGAGCAGTACGTCTATTACTCTACTTCAATGCGTCTTAACAAAACTCTTGCGGAAGTACTATCTCTTGGTCCTAAGTTTTGCATTGCACGACGGAGGCAGAAGCAATTAAAGCTCGAAATCCAACTCGAGTGTCTTCAACAAGAGAGGTTCATCCTCCGGAATATTAGGGAGCGTGCCATGAAGCACTCCATTGCAACTTGAGAAATGGAAGACTTACTTCTATGACTGCCTCTTCTAGGAGACGCAGCAAGCGAATTAATGAAACGACGTCTAGGGACGGCTATCGCGAGTGCCTTCCCCGCGGCGAACTTGCGCGTATTCCTTGCAAGTCCCCTCCTGCGGTTGGGAGGCAACGAAGGACTTCCGTTGCAGGCCACGTCAACGTGCATTTATTTACCCACCCGGTCCCGCGGAGCTGGATGCATTGGTTGCACAACGAGTCGTCTGGAGAAGAGGGTATACAAATAAATACCCGTCTGGCTAGGTAAAGGGGAAGTCGATCGACTTGAAGTTCAACTCTCGCACATTTAATCGATACGAACCACCAAGTCGAAGCCAAACCAACTGCATTTTACATAATTTCGAGAAGCGTGGTGAACGTATGCACTGCTGCCCAAAATGGCTCGATCTCGCGGCCATTGTCGTACCGGCCGACGGTTCAGACCGCTCGGCCACCTCGCCACGGCGGCGGTCGACCACACGATCTCACTGATTGTATGAGCAGACCACATGCAAATAAGATTTGTAATGGATACCGGCTGTTAGACCTCAAGGCTAACCATCTTGGGAGAGTGATCGAACGTATAAAAACTCTTCTGCAATGTAATTTAGGCACAACTGACGATAAAAATGTACCCAGTGGACGAATAACAAGGAATAAAGCAAGATCATCTTACTTAAAAGGCACTTCAACAGTGCCTTCTGTAGCAGATGCGACAGAACTAGAATAAACACTGAAATATCGGAACGACGGCGGCCTGCGAAGAAATCAAACGACTAGGAATGAGAGAAATCCAGTGGTAAGAAAGTCAGTGGAAATAAACAGCCTAGTGCCGAGGGTCTAACAACCGTTATCAACGCCCAGAGAAATTTAGAATTGCATGAACCCAGCGCGAATCAATCAACGTAATTACAGACCATTATTCAGTGTCGTCCGTGTCAGCGCTTCCAAGTCTGTCAAAGCAGGGGTAGAACAACAAAACCGCGAAATAAGCCATCTGTTCAGCCATCACCGGCCTATATCCCCAGAGCGCCACACCCTTTAGAGAGCGATACGCCAGTAGAAAATACGAACGAAATCGTCAGAGAACAATGTCGCATTAGTCAGTGTCTGCCTGAATTAAACACCAACACTCCCAATGAGCGGATTTCGGAAGACCAAACGCCCTTCCAAAGCCTGCTTTATAATATTGTGAAACCCTCTGAGGCCATTGAAGTGCTCAAAGCCTCCCGTCTTTAAAAAAATGAGCAAACAGTCAGTCGGCATCAACACGCTCTCGGCCTGTAAGGAACAAGCCAGACTGATTCTCCCGGCACTTTTGATAAAATGCGCCAACATTAGCGTTCTTTCTTCCATCGGACTACTCACCAGCAGAGAGACTGAAAAGTCTTCTAGTTCTAGAACCGAAAAAGACTCAGCGAAGAAGAACGCAATTGGGTAATCTACAACAACCAAGTCAAGCAGCGCCCATTGCTTTTTCTTTAGGCGGATCCGATTCGGGTGACCGGCGCAGTAAGCGAAGGTTCGAACAGCGTTGAAACCAACTCTCCCGTAAATCGCAAACTTTAATTCATACTCACCAACGTGCAAAGCTCGTCGAGCTTAAGATGCACCTCTCTAATCTATCTCCGGATGTAATCTCACTGACAGAACTTTGGTTGTTTCAACACGTGGACAACCGGGAGTTGACTACCCAGATACCAGCTGTTCAGAAGAGACAAGCCAAGACGTCTGAGGGGAGGCTTACTCGTGTATGCAAAACATGGGTCTATAGTTTCAGACAAAACGGATAAATTTGCGTGTACTCCCGGGGCTGTCTGGCGGACTATTAAAGCACCGGATTAACCAAATCTCGACGTTCTGATAGTCTACCGACCGCCGATAAATAATCCCACGGCTGACATCTGCCTGCTTGAGGACCCAGAAATATTTTCTGCTCTGACGCCTTAATCATGGAAGGCTTTAATGCACTACTTACTGACTAGAGTTCAGCTTACACCCTCGGTCCAGTTCAAGCTTTTGACCGATGTTTGCCAGACATGGCACTTAAGTTATTCCTCACTCAGCACGCCTTGTTGTGGGGGTGCGTCATCTTTTTTCTGTGCCCGAAAAACCCACCAGAATTAGAAGGCATATTTGGCGCGACGATTGTGATCAAAAGAAAGCTGGAATAAACAACATCACCTGGGAATCAGCTTCTTCCCGCAACATAGTTGAAGATTGGTTCAGTGAGTTGTTGCGCATTCTCCTTAGAAACTACTGCCCGACTACACGGGAGACTGAACAACAGACTCTAGAGGCTGACTCAATCTTAAGAGATGGAAGTGAATAAAAAGCGGAGACTGTGAAAAAAAAATTCTTCTCGGACAAGAACCCTGTGTCGATATATGTGTACAAGGCGCAGAGAAGCCTAGTTAGGCGACTAATCCTCAGGACACGTCATGCTTTCGAGAAAGGCCTGCTGGACCGAGCCGCAGAGAACCCAGAGTTATTTTATGGTTACATAAGGCGCAAAAACTGAAGCCCAATCCTCCTATTGAAGACTGGTGAAGATCTAGAGCTTAGTGAGAACAAGGCAAAGGCGGAACACCTTTCGCAATGTTTCTTTACGGAGCAAAGCGCATTTATTTTCCCCGAATGCGACCTAGTGGAGGACCCAACGATCTAGACTTTCTTTTGCCGAAACTATTGCTCTCGAGGAACTGTTGATACTGAATGAATCAAAATCACCCGGGCCGGTTGACACCACCCAGATTGCTGAAGGAGTTCGCTGCAGAACTATCCAAATCGCTGTCCCTGCTCTTTCAAACCTCGTTTGAAGCAAGCTGTCCACCGACTGGATTACACCACTGTATAAAGACAGTAGCAAGGTCTCAGCAAACAACCACAGACCGATCAACCTTCCTTCAGTCTGCTGCAAAAGTATGTAGAAAGTAACTAAGTGAGAGCTAGTGCGCTTCCTAGAGCAGCATAATCTGGTATGCGATTCCCGGCATGGATTCCGCATAGGCTGATCATGTGTAGTAAACCTGCTCCATTTAGAACGCAGGACCCGGGAATTTGATGGAGAGAATGCAGTGCACGCAGTTTAGATCGGCTTTAAGGAGGCATTCGATTGCGTACCACATCAGCGACTACTGCACAAACCTAGCCCAAATGGCATTAGGGGTAATATCCTGAGGTGGATTCAAGCTTTCTTAATCGGTCTCTCTCAAATTGTCCACGTCGGTGAGGGTAGCGGTTGAAAGCGGTGTTCCTCAAGGCCTCGTTGTTGGTCCTACCCTGTTCGTTGCGTACGTAAACGGCTACGTCGGTGAACTGAATTGCGATGTCACCATGTTTGCTGGTGATGTTAAGCCTTGGAGCGTAATTCGGACTGAATTTGATGAAGAGCGTTTATAGGCAAATCTGTGCCGGCTTGAGACTGGCTTTTGCCGTTTGATGTGACTAAGTGCAACATTCTTCGAGTCGGTGTAATCCGATCTCCAAGCCGCAGGGTTTGCCACCTGAATGGCATACCATTGCAGGAGGTAGACGCCCATAAAAACCTGGGTTTGTGGATCACGGTTTCGCTTAGGCTGTCGCTGCACTGCTCCGAGGTAGCGCAGTCAGCCTTGTATCTTGTCAAGCGGGCCTTCTCTGCCTTCGATGAAGACAGCTTCACCAAGGTCTTCCGATCATTTGTGCGACTACAGTTAGAGTTCGCTATTCGAGCGTGAAAGCCTTGGACATCTAGAGACCTCGGCACTTTCGGGATGGTTCAATGGCGTGCAACCGAACTCGTTAGTGGACAGGACTCCTGAGCCTACCAAACACGCTTATCTAGTCTCTATAATTCTCCTTTGAGCTAAAGACAGCCAAGAGGTAACTTGATACAAACATTCCGCATAATGCGCGGTCAGGACTGCTGTCTTTTACCTGCTGACTTCTTTGAGTTAGCGACCACAAGGAAATTCCGAGGTCATCCACTCAAAGTATGTGCGACTGTCGCCATTGTGGTTCTTCTTCTCCAACAGAGTGGTTGAAGCTTGGAATGTCCTGCTTGCAGATATCGTTATACCCACGTGAATCAAGGTTTTTAAGCGCAAGCTGTATCGGTTTACCTCCTCACATCATAACGTCACCCAGCCGACATCGCCTTAGCTATCCGTGTTAACAATTTATTATTGTCACAATGTTACCGTCCACATTTTAGTAACGTTTATTTTTTCTAATTTATTGTCCCAAATTTATTGCACGCAAACAATGACATTCACTTCGGCTCCTTCAGATAACTGAAATCGCACCAATTTGTCTATAGCACAAGTATTTATAGACTGACGGTGTACAATGTACTTAGTTTCCGTGTTTATAACACTTGGAGTAATTCATTTATCTGTACAGTTTTGACAAGTATTCTGTGACTTTTTGGTGTTTCCGTTTTCCAACTTTTGGTGCTCTTCCTATCCTTGTACCCAATGGGGAGTCCAATGGTGCAACACCTACATTTCCCTCAAATAGGCTGAACTGAACTGTGCCAGAATTTATTTTTTGGTCCATTTGCCTGTTCCGCAATTTTTCTCTTTTGCCATTCGTTCGCTCACAAAAAAAAACATTTAAATTCCGTCAATGGGCTCTCATGGTCAACATTACTACAGACGATTGCAGGCGGTGGTCAATTTCTGGACTTGATTCATTGTCCTGGCCCTGGCGTGCGCCGAGTTTCGTGCCAGGACAGGTTTTCTGGGATACGTTTATCGCTAGGTTTTTGTTTAGTTATTTAACCGAAGTTGTCAGATGCAATTGTGTGCATACCCGGCGTTTGTGTCCGCACTTACACGCTGACTCGTTAATCTGGAGATTACAGCTTTTGAGACGGGCTATCGCGGAATTAACACTATTCGCCCGAACGGTCAGACATATGTACATGCCATGGAGTCCGCAGTGTATTTTTTCTGCGCTTTGGCTCCGTTTCGCCGCGTCTGCCATTAAAATCCACCACCGGGTATATAATTCAGATTCACTCCACACCAGTCTTCCCTTTTCCTAAGCGGTATTCAGCCCTATCTACCTCGCCCCGTCAGGTAGCTTCAGGTTAGATGCGGCCATCGACTGTGACTAGTTTTATTGGCTACTGAACAAAACACAGTAGCTCTTTAGATTTAATTCGGTCGCTTACCCGACCAGGAAAAAGATGCCGTGATGCGGAATTGAAATACTAGCCTCCCAGTTACATGTCCCGATGTGCAGTCAGCCGGGTTTTGATGGAAGATTTTAGAGGCGATTTCGGCGTCTGCAACTGGTTTTGAGGAGCTTAGTTCCTGAGCCTTCGTCAATTTTTACTGAGCTGTTAGTACCAACCAAAGCCTCGTATGGTTGTCCATCCATAACTCAAATTCATAAAACGGGTACTAGTTTCGATACGCAGATACACTGAAGAAACGTTGTCGAGGGTCTAAAGTAAAGGTGAGATGCCCGTCTTCGCTGGTGATAATTGTTGTCTTTGTAATATGCGCGTATATCTCCGATAATGAGAACCGGACCAGACCAGTGTGAAACGTGCACATGCGCTGTTTAGTCTCGTCAGTCGCTCCGCCAGATCCCGACTTTGACCCTTCATGGCTCTGTCCTGACATTGAGGTTATCGGACATATTTAATGTACCGTGCAATTATTCGCCTGTACCGTGCGTCAGTCCGGTCTGTCCTTCTTTATGGTTGTGAATGCTGGGCTTTGCGCGTGGTGGACGAGCGCAAACTGGAGGTATTTGACCACCTCTGCTTGAGGACCATCCTTCGAGGGAAGTATACCGATTTCGTCTCAAATGAGACAGTCCGCGCTCGCTGTGACAACATTGCAAGGATAACCCAGGCCATCCAAGAAAGAAGATTGAGGTGGTTTGAGCATGTTTTTCGTCGTCCACCTCAGGAGCTCAGTGTTACTGCCCTCGATCCGGCACCGTTGCCCCATTGGAGGCGTCGAAGAGGGGGTCAGTTCAAAACCTGACCCGACACAGTTCGTCAAGACATTGGGGTGGCTCTTGGACCTTCAGTATTCGGTCTCCGTCGTTGGCGAAGAGAATTGGTTGAGCCGTCCAGATCTGCTGCCGCGGGTCGTCACGCGTGGAGAGGTACAGTTCGTGACATCATAGAGGCCGGCTAGAGCAGGCATAATCGCAGCCGTATCAACACAATACACACACACTGTCCTGACACCGGTTTCTGGTTGGCGAGAAGGGAGGGAGTGTGGTAAATGCAACCCAAGTCACCGTCCATGCGCCCATCAGGCTTCGGGGCACACGGTAGACATCGTCGTTCGCTATTGTCGGGCTGTCAAGTGACCACAGTGTATCCTATAGGTCACTTGAGAGCCTTAGTCGGTGTCCACACCGTGAGCTACGTCAACCACTGTTCGACTACCCGACGCTTGTCACTAACCCTGATGAATACCTTCCTATGCCACTTTCTTTCCCACGTCGCTAATGTCCCTAGCCCCATTCCCACTTCCGACCCAACCACCTTTTCTTCGCTTGGGATTTTTAATGATACATGGGCGGCTGCTACTTTTTCATAAATCGATACCCAGTCGGATTCAGGCTGCATATCCAAACAGGGTCAAGGTCACCAATTCCGGCTTACCGGACGAACACGAGGAGCTTGCGTGGCTCACACCTCAGGACTTTTCGCAGACTTTTCCCTGGAGGCACAACCGTAGCCCCAGAGTACAAAAAGTGGTAGGATCCCATCTAGAACTAACACACACAATCCGGAGGCCACACTGGTACGGTGATATTAGTAAGACGAGATTTCTTGTTTTGAATAGAAGGGAAAGCGATCACTGGAGCAAGGGCTTTGTTCACCTAACGGTTCTTATTCTCACTTGAGCCCATCATCGGAGACAGGGACAGACCCGTTTCTGTCACTGTCTCTGATGGTGGGTTCAAGTGAGAATCCGAAACTTCCGGCGATTGCGTCCTCTCCTTTTTCTTCTTTTGATTATTATTATTAACATGTTCCTGGAACTCACATTTTCGTTTGCATCGGCAATTTATTGTTTTCCTGGGCTAAAGTTCTGTCCTCGGTGCTGGCAGTTAGGGGCCTACGAAGTCCCCAGCCTCCGTATGAGCGCTGAAAGATGCCGGGCTGCAAAATTATCGCACTTCGACTGTGCTTTCAAATTCAAGGGATAAAATGGATAATCTCCAAGTATCCACCTCGGCAAAAACACCGATAAATCATCCAGAGTGGGCCTGTGAAATCAAGGGGTGAGACGCTGTTTGTTTTGTCTGTGTGGCATTTGGCAGTTTTGCCTAGCAACTTCACCGGACCGCATCACTGCAAAGCGAGAGTGGAGACTCGTGTGGCGCGGCTTGCACTTCTAAGAACAATTGTTAAAAACAAGTTTTTTTGGGGGCGAAGATCAGATTGTACCTCTTATGGCTGAGGGTTACTAACGACGAACGAACTTACCAGTTCTGCTCGTGTTATCCCCCGGCACCTTAGCGGTAAGCGACGCTAACCACCGTTCAGATGACCTGGGGTTCGAGCCTTACAGCGTCTGTCTTTGGCCCAAAATGTAGGCAACCCTCTTCCCTCGGGCCTAAATCTGTGTCCAGCACGTATGTGGCAGGCAGGAGACGGGGGCTTCTTTCTTGTCAGCCACTTTGTCCACAGTCGTTTTTGTTTGGTCCCCCTATCGTCATACGGTATGGGAAGGAGCGGAGAGTAAGTTCAAATCCGTGCCTGCGTTCCTCACTAAAATTCACCTGGTATGTTTCTAAACTATTGCCTTTGGCCCAAATGTGAAAGACTCAGTGCCTCAGTGGGATTCGAACCCACGACAGGAAGGTGAAGGCTTTAGTACAGCCAACGCTCCATCCACCTGAGCTACGAGGCCCTGCCGGACGACGCGAGTTTAATCAAATTTGGGTCAAGTTTACCCATCCAACTTACTGCAACGTCTGGAATCTACCAAAATATCACGACCCGCCAAATATTGCCTAGAGGGTTGCCGACGTGCAACATACTTTATCGTCAGGACCGGATTGCAATGATTCCTTTTCATGACGACTATTCTCACAACTGTGAGCGAGGCCTAATTAGTGCTGGCAATCTGACTATCGCTCGCAAATGGCAACGAATGTCTAGTCCACTATTGTGCCAACTCCTGAACCTTTACCTGACCTTAGGGAGGAATATGGCTACTACTGCTTCCCTCCCCTAACTACAGAGACAGGCGACTAACCCAGTCGAACTAACTGAACGTACGAACACGCGCAATAAAGGAGCATTAATGGAGGGTCTTCCCTGAGCGCACAAGGCCAGCTTTTGTAGTCGGATAGTGACTGATTCTGCTATTGCTAACAGACGCTAGCCCAGTAGCTCAGCGTAGCTCGAGGGGACTTCATAAATCACATGAATGACTTCGCTGGAGTCCACATGGTTCCCGGAATCAATAACATGTGCGAGGACAACGCTGTTTATGTCCCTAACTTCGCCTTTTCCCAGCCATGTCGGGAGGTGTTCTCGTATTCTTTTGGATAGGTGTCGACTCGTGCGACCAATATAGCCTACTCCATGAGAGCAAGTGAAAGAGTAAATGGACATTGAGGTGGTCGGAGATGGCATCCTATCCTTACCTTCTCCGCACAAAATAGGATTAGTAGAGAATAGTATTCGAACCCTTGCTGCTGCGAAGGTTCGTGAGGCAGCGTAATCAACGCATCGACTTAGGAGTTCACTCGCAGCGTTCCCCTGAAAAAGGACTTTCACGAACAAAGCTTTCTTCTCGGCAGTCAATATGGTGGGTTATTTTGCTCTCTCTACAATATTCTTTACAATGAACCTCTCATGATATCCATTTTTACGAAGCAAGTCTACGAGGGTTCGAAGTTTATCCTCTATGCTATTTGCCGAACAATCTGTTTTAGCCTTTTACGCCCAAAACCGGACTAGACTTCGTTTTTTGCTTTAGGGGTATGAAACCGCCGAAGTTCTTGTATTGTCTGGACCATATTTTTGTCGATAGACGCTCATTCGTACGCTATCGCCAGGTTTCCTTTTTGGAAGTACATCTATGAAGGGAAGCGAACCAGCCGTTTCCATCTCTAACGTCGAATTGATCGACGGTTGTGCTTGATTGATCGCACTTTTGAGGACAGCTACGTCGATTTCTGTGCTGGCAATTGCCAAGATGTCATCAACATGGCGACCGCAATGTCTAAGCTTATTGATTTGATCGGCGAGTTAAAATTCCTCCAGCTTGCCCATAAAGAGCGGTTAAGACAGGTCTAAGAGGCGAAATTGTAGAAGCGCCGTCTGTTTGTCTATGAGAATTGGCTGTCAAAAAGGAACTGCACATTTAATGTGAATCTTAGTAGTAGCTCAGCAAGTGTGCCGTCGGAATCCTTATTTTCTACTAGATTTTTACCGTCACAACTTGTTTAAGTATACCCTTCGTAACTTGGACAGGCACACTCGTTTTGTGACTAATTTACGGACATTTGCTCGGGCCCAGGTAACTTGTCTCACGGCCTATCCCCCCACCGAAAATTCGACTTTTAATTTTGTATATCCTAGCATCCCCCTGGCCTCTCGTGTTTGTGTCAAGCTGTGATTAGTGACCTTGACCTAATTTAGGCACGCCGCCTGAGCCCGGGTGAGTATTGATTTTTGCTCAAGACTGTCCGCGGCTGCCCCTGCGACGGGTAGTATGACAAGTAGGCCGAGGACGTCTCTGCAAACTGGAAAAAACGTTGGCCTGCCTTTCGCAGACCAGCAAGAGTAGACACATTTTCGCACAGGAATCAAGATTCACAGACAGGCGTGTCGGAAGAGGACACGGTTTAGTGAGGCTCCACCCACAAAAGTTTTTAAGTCTGAAACGTGCGTCTCCTGAAAGAACTTCACAGACAGAGGCGTAGGACATCACTGGGGCGAGAACGCACTTTTCCGAGCAAAAAAAAGTAAGGGGAGCTCTCAGTGATCACGCTTTCGTCGTCCTAAGGATTGTAAAGCTCTCAGATTTCGTTAAGCAGAGGGAGCAGCCAGACGATTTTCATTGCATCGTATGTAGCTCAGCGTATGCAGGGAACGAATCTGGTGGCAGAATCGCGCCACTCTTTTTTGGGAATGACCTTTAAGAGCTTCTTTTCCCCAGACAACACACGGAACTAATGCACGGACTTCTCTGGAGCTACTGAACTACTGCAGTCGTTAGTTCCCATCTGAAACGAAAAAGGTCGTTAGTAAACCAACTGATTATTCCGCCAAAAACATTCCACCATGAACGTCGATATTTTAAATTTATTCCTACCGCTATAGAAGAAGGCAAAAGGGATCGTTCGGTGCCTAGCTCAATCCACGTCTGACTTTTTCAGTTTTTCAGAGTAAATAGCAATTATTAGGAATCAACTTACTGTCAGTTTTTTTCTACAGAAACGTACTTTTCGGGAGTTGCCAAAACGCAATGAGGAGACGCATTTCACTCAAATAGTTAGTTTCACAATGAAAGTTTTCATAAGTGGCTGGAAATATCTTAAATATGGAGTCATTGTGCCCCTATTTACGCAACTGCTTCAGGTTTTTTCTTTGACTGGTTGACGTTTCTGGATCAGGACACGGGAATATTTATCCCTCCCGGAATTTTTTCTCGAGGGCATCTCTATTACTGGGTGAGGGGGACTCCTATTCCCATGTCCTACCAAGATTTTGTTTAAATACTTGGTTGAGGCTATTAGTCAGCAATTAACCAGTTTTCGCGCATGTTGTGAATTAATGAAAATTACCCTTACTGCACGCACGCCCAGCTTCCGGTGGGAAGCCTGCAAAATTCTCATCAAAAAATTTTTGAGTGTTTGGAGGTTTTGCAGATGAAAAGCAGTGGCCAAATATCGCCTTGATTTCCATCATCTCGGCCGCAGAATTTATTGCTGGAGAAATTGGTCCATAAACACTGAGTCTAGACAGTAAAATGAGATCAGAGAGGCCTTTCGTCGTAATTTCTCAGTCCCAGGTTCCAGAACGGCGAATAGGCTGAGTCAGCCAGATGCACTTTGGCCTCTGTCAGCGTCTAAACGGTGGTAATAAATCTCATCTGCAAGCAGACAGTTAAATTTGCAATGCTGTTCTAAATTCGGCATCGGTTCTACCTGCCTTCTGGTTGCAAGCCTCTGTGCTGGTCCAGGAGAACTGCAACGGTTGCTGGCTATGACGCACTAAAAGAAACACGTTTTGATGGCGAAAGTTAGACAGACAAATAGCAATCAGGACTACTCGAAAACCCGGTTTCAGCTTCTAGCTCCGGACGAGGAGAGTGATGTGTTACAACTGCCTGGCTCGGCGGGATCAGGTGTCGCTTTTTAATTCCCTCAGAAATTATCTACGAAGTTGGAGTAGATCCGTTTATTCAAGGTCTATAGGCTCAGACCGAGAAATTCATGTATGAATATATGGACCAAAGTCCATCAGCCACGGCGTGTAACCGCGTAATATTCATTAACTGTCGGCAGACAGCTAGTAGTATACTTTAGGGTAAGGTGATACCATACTAACAGCACAGGTACTAGCCAAAAGTCCATACACGCGTGTTTCTCCGATATTCTACCGCTGCATGGCGCAGCCGCGAGAGGTTCGGCTCGTCAGTGACAGTTAATGAATATTGCACGGTTACCGGCTGTGGCTGATGGATTTTGGCCCAAATATTTATTCATAAAATTCTCTGTCTGAGCCTATAGACCTTGAATAAACTGATCTACTGCAACTTCGTGGATAATTTCTGGAGAAATTAAAAAGCCAAAATTTTTAAATTGGAATATCTACCAGAAAACACACGGAGAATGCTGGGGTACCCACTGACGAGCCGAACCCCTCGCGGCTGCGTCATGCAGCGGCAGAATATCGGCGAAACGCGCGTGTATGGGCTTCTGGCTAGTACCTGTCCAGTTAGTATGGTATCACCTTACCCTAAAGAGATCGGGTGTGCTTGAAAAGTGGCTTTTTAAGTCGTCGTCAAGTTATCGTAATTAGTTACCAATTTTCCAAACAGTCACCCGAAGGCAATCAATAGTCTGAGGAGTTTAAAATTACATTTTTTCGAAGGCTTCTATCAAACAAGCAGCAATTATTTTCCTCAAAACCTTCGTCTTTTCCACAGCCTAGTTATATTTCATGTCAAAAACCCATTGATACTTCAGCACAGTCTTAAATACCCGTGAGTACACCCCAGATGGCGCTGTCCAGCGTGCTTTGGTCACGTGAAGAGGAACAGGCTTTGTACGGAGTCCTCTTTTAGTCGCAGAAGAATTCCATGTGTTCACATTGAGCGTTGTCTAGACGGTGTAGCTTTGCGGGACCCAATGACGATGGGGCAGGTCTTCGTTGATGAGGGAGGGGACCACGAGTATCCTAACGATACTACCAGGGAATTTCTTACGCCTTTTTGGAACTTGTCGTGCCGCTGCTTAAGGAGTCACACACATCCAACAAACGTTCACTAAAATTATACGCTTTCCCACTGACCCAAGTCCTCAAGTCATGCGCTCTCTAAGAAGTGGTTCTTTTGACAGTTGTCGATGGTCAACGATGAGATTATCGAGAAAAGGCATTTATGTAGCCAAAGATGCTGTAACGAACACTGCTCGTGATGTCCAAGTAAAGGTCATCGTACAAAGGAGAGGGTAAGTGTTTACCACTAGTAGTGACATTGTAGTGGGCACTGATTTTTTCAACTGAGACCGAAGTCGCCGGATGTTCGAACTGTTCGTCTGTGGAGAACCCTCTTCCCCCTCCTCCAACCCTTCCATACATTTAAAGCAACCAGGAGTTGCGCATGGATTAGCCCGACGCAACATCTAACGCATGACTCGGGATCTCGGCTGAAGGTCGTGCTAAGCACATGTCCAATCTGACATGTTTGTAAACTAAGTGAGGGGCAGGAAGCAGGCGATTACTTTTAAGACATTGAACTAACGAGGTACGGTACATCCGGTGCGTTTGAACCAATAAATTCCCCTTATTTGTCATGGCTTGAAAGGCTGCCAATTGACATATTAACTTAGCCCTTCGCGAGACTGAGAGTCAGGCTGCAATTGCTTCCTCTTAATATGGCCTTCCTGGCATTCTTGCCGATGTGGGATCCAAGAAACCTCAGGAAATGCAGTCTGGCACGTGTTGGGTGGGGATCTGGTCGACAGCGACACGCGTAAACGGGTATTTCAGCTTTGACGGCCATTGCACCAGAAAGTGCCCCGCCCCTCAGCTGTCTCGGCTTTGTCTTGCCTGTGCAGCAAGGTGGGTGAGAGAAGTGATGGTGTGAAAGGTCCTGCGTAAGTTAGTTTCACGATAAACTAATTCAGGAGCAAGTCATCACTTTTGGGACCATCCCGCAGGGTAGTGGTGGTGGTTGTGTTGGTGTTGGTGGCGGTTGTGGCGACGGTGGTGGTGGTGGTGGCGGCGGCGGCGGTGGTGGTGGTGGTGGTGGTGGTGGTGATGGTGGTGGTGGTGGTGGTGATAGTGGACGTCGTCTCTTGCGACGGCCGAGCCGTTATGTTACCATCGTATCGCAACGAGCGACACTTCGTGATAGCACTTTCAGGCGCGAAAGCATCGATGGCGACGTGATGTGACAACCAGATCGGAGGGGGGGGGGAAGTGTGAACGTGAACTGTAAACTTTTTCAATTACATTTCGTCCTTCCAATAGAAGCGAAGAGACGAGTCCCAGGAAGCAGTCGTGTAGAAGTAAACATGATAGCTGGAACAAGAAGCTTATTCGCCTGAGGTTTCGGATTCCCGCTGGAACCCATCATCAGAAACAGTATCATCTTCTACTGTCTCTAATGATGAGATTTTGTCCTTCCGTACGCATGCATAAATTTCCCGATGGATAACTTTTCTCCTCTGTGACAGGATTCAAAAGTACATGGGATGGTAGCCTATCTTTCACCAAACTGGTAACCACCGCATGCTCACGTCTCCTCAAGACCGGCCTAATGGGATTTTCACTCGATGCCTCTCGGCTTTCATGGGGCTTAGTAAATGCGCATAATAAGCGAAGGGGAGGAGTTACTTACGTCTTCACAGCCTTCGTGTGTGATTATTTCGTGGCAACACTATCTAGCACAATTACTCATCAAGGAAATCGAGACAGCCCAGGTAGAATTGTGGTTTGTCCATTGACGGAAAGACGTGTGTCATGTATATGTATAGACAGCATAAGATTCCCAGCAAACGCAGGCTCCCCCAGGACGTAGCATCCACATCTGCCGGTATACAACAGAGTGTATCAGCAAACGTTATCAGTGTCCAGGCTTCTGAAACTCGTCTGTTGGCAAGGACGGAGGTTCAAAACAGCCAGTTGATTGTTTAGACGAGGCGAGAGACCCAACTGCATCCTTTAAAATTTAAGGTTCACGAGCATTCGTCAGTAACGTCTCGGAAGCGGTCAGTTGACGTCTCACGCCGCTGCTCACAGAAGGAGACGCCCACCGCTTTCTTAACCAGATTCGGTGCGGTTGCTGAAAAAGCGAATATTTCGGAGATAGAGGGAGGGGGGACGAGACTGGGAGATTCCGGCAGACGCAAGTGGCCGAACATGCAGCTACAGTGGGGAGGAATTACGCCAACTCTCGGGTCGCGGCTCACCGACTAGATGAGACCCCATGTCGACGAAGTCCTAATTCGTTTGTTTAAATGCTACTGTTTAGGTTGCGGACTGTTTGAGTCCCAGTCCTTCTAGTCGCAGACTATCATCAAGCGTACTGACTTCTTAGCCTCTCCTCCGTGTGTAATGCTACGAATTTGCCAACAATACTGACGAGCCAACACCAGTAAAGAAATCGCGACTATTAACGGCTCGCAGTCATAGTCTCAAGCCTGACCATCCTCGATTATTGCTGAGAACGTTACTTTTGCTGGTTGTGTAGCTACTCGGCAATTGCTGGGTTAGACATAGGAATGTGGACCCCACCCCGTATTACCGGTGGCCTTGCGCTAAATTTCAGGCGGCTAACTATCCTCGTGTCTTAACTATAACCCTAACATTAACCCCAACCTCCTGGAACTCAACCCAAGGCCACCTGAAAGACGAAGGAAGGTCCATATTCCCTATGCCCTAGCAAATACTGTAACGCATTGTGCCTTCACCACCCCTATCTGTTGCCATGTGTGGTGGTAGTTTTGGGTGTCAGTTGGAAACGTCTGGCAACTGCAGTCCTTGATCCAGAGATTTGGCCTTCTGTCAAGCTACCTCGCGGTGAATAAGTGGTCACCAAGTCTTTTGGTGAAGTTCCTAACTTATCCTGTCAAGGCGACCGTGTGGGATAGTTTGTTTCAGCCTTCGAAAACCGGATGAGAGAAGAATCTTTTTCGTACGCCCAGTCTGCCTCGCCTTGTTTTCAGCATGCGCTAGTAATCTTGAGGGTCTGTTAACTCCGTGGATTCTCAAAGTTGCCGCTCATAAAATTGCAGTCAGTCCATCTCACGACCTTAAAAACTACCATCACATCCAGCCTGTAGGCCTTCCACTCATCTTAATGTTGTGGGGTCTTGCAATGCCGACCATTTTTTAAATTTTATATTGGAAGTGCGTTTACCGATTGAGTTACGAGACCTGCTCATCCCGCTGTGAACAGGAATCAATCCAGAACCCTCGAAGGCAGTCACATAACCACCAGAAATATATTATAGAAGGGACTTATATTGCCCATCGCAACCGAGGAGACAACGGCTCCCTGACTTGCTGGTTAAGAGTGTTGGACTTGCTAATGCACGATGGCCAAAGAGCGACGGTTCGAACCAGAGGTGCCGCCAAATCTGGGCTTGGGTAGGAATGGCCGACGACGGCTAATAAGTCGAAAATGGCCATCCCAGTCTCCCTGGTCTTTGTCGGAGACCTGTGGCGAGGTAGCAGACTAATTCACATTGGAAAATCTAGTCCCGTTTTCTTTTACTGTACTGCTTGTTTTAACGTGACGAAAGCAACACTGCTGGACAACCCCCGCTTTGCTGGCGTGCTCTGCTGTCAAGTCATTCTACGTTCTGCATCGCAGTTTATTCACCAACGGGTTTTACATACTGCTCTTAATACTTTGGGCTCCTGAGATATCATTGGTTATTCTGTGAAAACATCATCAGCTGCGTCAAATCCCCTCAATTCCCTCAATCTTCGCTGCACATACTGCAACGCGGCATAAGCTAATTTTTATGTTGGCAGAACAAACAACTTCGAGCACGGGTAAGGGTGTGGTTTATGGCCGGGGTTGCTTACTTCTGAGAGCATCTGTGTTGAGTAGCAGAGCTGAATATCTAAGAACTTTGTGGTATCACAAATTTTGATCCTCCATATTGTCAGCAATTAGAAGGTTGTACTATTTTTACCATTTAATGACAGTAGTAAATGCATCAAATTCCTCTTTGCAGGCATTGTCAAAGGAATAATGCATTGTCGTATTTTTACTCCGATGACTGCCTGAAAATATCTTAACTTCCCTCACACAACGGCCACCGCGAGGTTATTTCTTCCTCTGCCATGGGCTAATAAACGTCGCCAGTTATTTCCTCTTAGTACAGTGGGTGGGCTAACTCATTAAATGTCAAGAGTTAACACAAGAAAATCCCTATAACGCGAAATCCGCCCAACCTGTGTTCCCCAAAATCCTACGGCAGTAAAAAAAGACTGTTTTTAAATGAAGACATAGTTGGGGCTATAAATTAATATTTACTAACATAAAAATAATCAATTTTCACTGAAAAACTAAAATTTCAGAAAATGGCCATATTACAAGTCGTTTAAATAGGGCTAACTTTAAGAGTGCAAAATGAAGGGGAACGCGTGAAATGGTGAAAATAATGTAAAATAATAACAAATGCAAACAATCAGAACTTTTTTTGATTGTCCATTTTCATCAATCCCGCCTGTAAGTCTTTCAGGAATGGAGATGGTCAGGTTGTCGACAGCGGCTTGTTTAGTGCGATTGTCCAGAATAAAATCAAGTTTTTCATGCATAGACAGTTTCTTATTGGCTTTATGCCAGAGTCTTTTGATAACTGTGAAAAGATTTTCGATGGGATTGAAATAAGGACTGTTGGCAGGGATGGAAATCGACTGGAGTCCACATGCGGACAGGCTGGCTGTTGTCTATAAAGTTAGATTACGGTTGAATGCGTTATTAGATTCATACTTCTTTAGAACGATGGACAGGTGCATTGCCGTGTAAAATTATGCTATCCAGTCGACGTCGGTGGATGTCGTTGTAATTGAAAACATCCCTCACAATGTTGACGAACACCTTGCTGTCGATGGTGTCCGTAGTCGACCGCCAGACTGGCCGCTCTCCGAATTTAGTCGCTATCCAAACCATTAACCGTCGACGATTCTTGAATGTTGTCGTCCGCATAGTGTGCTCTTTTAGAAAGTTTTTTCCGCATATGACCATCGGGGTCGGCCTCATTGACTTGTCTAAAAATAAGAGCTCATCACAGAAGTTAATGCCCTTCCATAATGAGGGCCGGTCTTAGCAAATAAAAGACGTTCTCTAAAATGTTTTCTACCTAAAAACGGCTTGACCATGTCTTTTTGTTGATGAAGTTCAAATTCCCGCATCCTTTCCTAATTATTTCCAGAGAGAACATAAAGGCATTGTCGTATGTTTACTCTGTTGACTGTCTGAAAATACCTTGACTATCCCCACACAGCGGCCACCGCGAGACCCCTTTATTTCTTCCTCTGCCATGTATAAATAAACATCGCCGGTTAGTTTCTCTTAGTACAGTGGCTCCCCGAAGTTAGCAACCCGACCATAAACCATTTCCTTGCTCGAGCACGCGTCCAAAAATGAACATCCACTAGTTACGCCAAGGCCACCCACGACACGTGCTACCTTGGTGCGATGATAGGATGAGTTGGGGCCGAGAGTCTTCCACGCACAGAGAATTCGGTACTATTTAACTAATTCCAGTCAATGAAATTTGATGTGTAGTAATGGGCCCCCGAGGTTGTGGTTGTCTGATGCCAGATCAGAGGCGAATAGATTGACATTTATGCCAATTAGACTTGACAGTTCAAACCTCGCAACCGATGATATCCACCGTGTGCTCCACTGCAAGGTGGAGCAGGGACGGTGACTTGCGCGTTAAGTAGTTTATAGTGAGTGTGGACTTTCACTGCATCCACCGCAGGTGGATGACGCGGCTGAGCTCGCAGCTTGGCGCTCCACTCCACACCCCTGGTCCACACAACAACTGATCAGGACACAATTAGACTTAAACAGCCATTCACCACACCAGTCAATCTAAGTTATTTCGTAATTATGACGTTTCTTCCGATCCTTTCAATACTTTTCAACATGGTTGGACGCGAGAATATGGACTACCCGTACTGGAAATGGCCTCGCCCTTAATTTCTGGCGATACAGTCAGTTGGCCAACACATGTTTTCGGTAACTCATCATCAGGCCAATATATCTACATCGGTAATGATCATACTAAATGTAGACAGGATATAAATGCGTCTCAGGGGCAGGGATAATCAGACTCCATGTTCCCACGCCACCCGCATGACGGAATCAGCGTTTTGAGGACGGTGGAGTTGGGGTTAGAGGGGAAGAAGAGGGGTTCCGGTTAGATTT